TTTTTATAGAGTCATTCTGTGAGTTTTAAGGCTGTGCTTTTATTTTTCCCTTTCTCTACTTCCTATGGAATATCATCTGGCTTTTCTGCCTATTCTTTCTGCTTTCTTATTAAGTGTATATGTTTAATATTATTGTTTTCCCTGCTGGTAATTCCCCATGTATTAGTAAATCCTGATCATAAACATTATACAATATTTAGTAGTTGTGCTAGAAACCATTACCATTGATGAGACTGAAAAGAGAAACAGTTTAATTTTGGAGAAAAACCATCCTATTTTCATTAAAAAATAAACTATATAAACAAAACAAAAGAAGGGACTTGCCAAGGACATTATGTCCTTTAAGGTATTCTCCAGCCTGACTTTAGAAGATAGTCATAACCAACATATTCTTATTTTTTTACATTGAAATATAAAATAGATATTTTTATATCCAGATATTAATATGAATATGGAACTTATTTGAATTTGCTTCATAGTTAGGTAATTTAGTTTTTAAAAAAGAAAGAAAGGCATTATTAGGCAGTAATATCAAATTACCAAAAGCTTCAAGGTGGTTCTATTTCAGTTCTCAACCTAATATGCATTTAAAAATATCTCTACTTAGAATAGTTACCGTTCACAATGCATTATGTTATCTTTTCAGATAACACCTTAGACTATAAAGAAGCCATTATCCTTGATTTGGTATATTTAACCCAAGTCAAATTTATGACAGACTGGAAGTTAGGTATAATGTTATACACCTCACTTCCTGTTCTGTGCAACTTGATATATGTGTGAGCCATAAGTCCAGCAGTGTTTATAAGAATATGCTATTGTTGGATGGAAAGGCTATTTCATATTACTCAGGGAAAATATACAAGATTAATATGTACAGTGTATATATAACCTTACAGTTACAGTTTGTAAGAGATTTACTGTGGTCAAAGGAAATACAATGAAATCTATTAGAAATCCTTCGAAAAAGGAAAATTCAGAATTTACTTCTTTAATTCCCAGGTTTCTGTGCAGTTGACCAATTTAGGAGGGAGAGACTTCATTAGTATATTATTTTTAGAGCAGATGAGAGATTATAAAACTACCTTAGTTTCTGATAAACGATAGATCAAAGAATCTAGTTCATATCTACCTTGCGCATTTCTCTCACCCCATTCTCCATTCCTCATAATTATTTACAGGAAGTACCTTTTAAACCACATATATAGCTTATATTGCATTTAAGGATTTGCCTTTACCCATAGTATTAGAATTCCACGGCATAATATTGATTAATTAAAAATATCTTAAGCAGTGGATTAGAGATGGCTTTGCAAAAGAAGAGTGAAATATGCAGTATTTTTCATTTAAATGCAGCCCAAGTGATTAAACCATTACTGTATGATAATCTCTGACCGAAGAGACAAATTTTCTCAGTGAGCCTATGTCTGTGTCTTTTATGATCAGCACTGACCGCTTTCTGGGCAGTCGTGTGAAACCAGGCACAGGATAGAACTTGCAGGGGCATCTTTCTTTACAGACACTTCCAATAAATTACAGCTACATCTTAACAAAGAGACTCATTGTATGTTTTCTCTAATACTTAAGAAATATTAAACAGACAAGTCTTCTAACTAGCCTTAAAATTATTTCCTTTGGAAAGTATTTAGTCCAGTTGTTTTGTTCCGAAAGAACTTCTGTAAGAGACTGGGTTGTCAGTGTTTTCTGAGTCCTCATGATATTAAAATATATTAGTCCTAAAACAAAGCAATACGTTTATTTCCATTCTCTACAAACAGTATTTTCCAGCTGAGGCTGTACATCAGAATCACTTATAGAGTTATATTTGCTTCTACTTCTAGAAATTCTGATTCAGTAGGTATGAGGTAAAGACAATATTTTTTAATATTTTTAAGTTTTAGAGATGGTTCTAATAGACACACTTCCAGTTGAGTACTAATACCAACTTACATTTGAATTGGTACCACACATATTTCATATCATATGGAGGTGAGTTTCATTCATTTACAAAGAAGAGCCAAGAATGTAGCTAGAAGGAAATCCTAGCCATAATCAGAATTTAGATTTTAAAAGAAACCAGTCTAAGTCCCTCCACTTTACAGATCAATAAACTAATCCACAGTGGCTAAGGAATTTGCCAGAATTGGTAGCAGAAGCTTATACTAGATCGACGTTTCTGACTTGAGCTCTTTCTATACAAATATCTTGGACCTAGTTCCCCTCCCAGAAATGCTTCAAAGCCACTCAGTGTTGTAGAAGTTGTCTCGCGCATTCCAAAGCCTGCTAGAGTGTTGTGAGGTCTCAGGGTACTTAATAAAAGTAATAATGCATCAAGCAGAAACTCTTCATTCTTTGAAGTTCCTAGGTAGGCGTTATGAGTGACATTGTAGTTAGAATTATAGACATTACCCACAATGCTTTTGTAACTTCTTTGTAAATGTGGAAATTTCTGGCAAGAAATGTCTAGATTTGGTACTAAAGATTGTCGAGAACAAGAAGATCATTTGTCTTATTTAAATTGATCCTTAAGTATTGGCAGCAAGTCTAGGAAATTATGCCAATGTTATATTTCTAAGCAGGCCTGACTTTTAGCTTGTACTTCAGAAAGAGGATTTTATACCCAGATTTCCAATTAAACCAACTAAAGGAATAATATCTTTATTAATTAGGATTAGATTTGGCTGTTTAAAAAAGTCCAAATAATAGTAGCTCAGTAAAGGTAGAGATTGATTTTTCTTTTGGATAAAAAGAAAAAAGTTCAGAGAGAAGGGAAGTCCTATATTGGCGTGGTTATTCCTATTCCACAGCCATCAGGGACTCAAGTTCTTCTCTTTTTTGCCCCATCTATTCTTGGTACTATCTTACATCCTAAGGGTGTCTGGTGATTCTAGATGGCTTCTAGACCTTCAAAGAGTCATACTTCCCCTTCTAATCAGCTCCCTTGAAAGAACTTTTCTAGAACCACCCATCTAATGATTTCTACTTCCATCTCATTGGTCTTTCCAATTGTCGAGGAGGCTAGAGTTATAGCTGGGCAAGTTGCTATTTGCAACAATGAGAAGTTCTGTAATTAAGAAGGGGAGAACTAGCACTAGGCAGGCAGAGGGAAGGGGAGAACTAGAACTAGGCCCAGGCAGGAGGACTGTTTGAGCTCAGCAGTTTGAGACCATCCTGAGCAAGAGCAAGAGCAAGACCCCTGTCTTTACTAAAAAAAGAAGAGAGAGAGAGAAAGAAAAGAAGAGAAAAATCAGCTGGGTGTCATGGTATACACCTGTAGTCCCAGCTACTTGGGAGGTTGAGGCAGGAGTTTGAGGTCGGGCCCAGGAGTTCAAGGTTGCAGTGAGCTATGATGGTACCACTGCACTCTATCTAGCCTGGGCAACAGAGTGAGACCCTGTCTGAAAAAACAAAAAAAAGAAAGAAGGGAGAATGGATATTGGGTAGGTAACCAATAGACTCTGCTACGACCTGCTTTGAAGAATATAAAATTTATGTTAGGAAAATAACATTTTAGTGACATAAAAAATTTATATAGGACATAAATTAAAAAGATCTCTAAACTGCATTTACCATGTGTCTGATTAATAAAAGCAGTAAATTTCTAGGATAGAATGTTCTGCCTTGGATTTCTCAGCAGGACTCCTTGGTCACAGCTATTTAGTTTTATATATATTTTAAATTGAAAAATGAGTTCTTCAAAACAACAGGAAAAAAGACACTTTAAATCTTTTTTCCTTTTGGAGATAGGGAGAATCAAAACAACCACAAAGACAATTGAAATAGCTATTTATTGAACTAGCAGGAACAATGTATACTATATTAGAGGATATAAGTGAGGAATGAACATATTTAAAGAAAATACTCAAATTGTTTAATATTTAAGTGGAACAAGATAGACTGATGCAGTAAATGAAATAGTTAAATATACACACATCATAGCAATGAATTGCATTAACTCCAGATATACAAGACCTGCCCTGGAGAAAGGATGTATTAGATGTATATCACCTCTGCCTGTATATATCCCACCCATACAAATAAAAAGGGACTAGGAAGATGGAGAGAATTTTCTTATCTGAAAAACTTAGAGGCAGAAGCAGACAGTAATCTACAACATATACAGCTGTAGAGCATGATATACATAAATGTGGAAATATTTATAATTTTAAAAATGTTCTGTAGTAATATTAGTATCCACTATTTTCATGGTAGCAGTTACATATTTACTAAATGCTTCATATTTACAATGGACTTTGTGGAGGAAATTCATTCACAATTTACCACTTAGATGAGAAAGTTTATATTTTGGCTTAATAGCTATGAATTTCAAATCTGGGGAAAATCCAGGCTTGTATTTTCCCCCATTTTCCTTTCATAATTACTTATCAGCAATCAAATACTGTCTGTTGACTTTTCTCTAGCTGATAGAAAACAGAAAACTATGGAGACTCCCTGTGAGAAGGCAGCCAGTTGTGCTGGCCTAGGGCCAGGTTGCACTCTCTGTGACCTTGCCTCTTTAATCTGAGTTCTTCATGGGGCAACAGTTGCAAAGAGCCCTTGAGGCTTTGGCAGTAAGCATAAGGAGTGCTAATGAAACCAGCTAATGCAACAAGGTCTGTTAGCCTGGCCTTTGAGCTCAGTCAGCCATCCTTTGAACATTTTATGATATTGTACTTCTGGCCATCCTTTGGGAAAAATAGTTTACAGTCTGCTCCAATAATGGATCAGGGACCATTCTCTGTCATCTGTAGCAGTGGAAATGCCTTTGGCGTTGCAGTATTAGATATCTGCTTATTTGAACATACTGTGCAATGACAGCCTTTCCCACTCATTATTAGTTTCCATTGAAGATGTGCTCAGTTTAAGTTTCCAGTAGGGACAAAAAAAGAAAATAGAAATCTCACAAACTGCACTTTATTTATATCTTAGTGCTAATACATTTGTCTCATATTTTGGTTTTGTGTCTTCCATTCTGTACCCCATTTCCCCTCTATTTTCAGGTGAAGGTCTCCCACAGGTATATTACTTTGGACCGTGTGGGAAATACAATGCCATGGTGCTGGAGCTCCTGGGCCCCAGCTTGGAGGACTTGTTTGACCTCTGTGACCGAACATTTACTTTGAAGACGGTGTTAATGATAGCCATCCAGTTGGTAAGTTGGAGTTGCTATTCTGAGAGAAAATAGGCTGGTCCCCTAGGCACATCCTTGTGGGCTTTTTGGCAATTTGCAGTGTGTGATGCCTAGTGAACTAGTACTCACAGGCTTGATGGCATAATTGGAAGCTGGCTGGGGCAAAAGGAGTTAATTCAGAGAAGTCACACTACATCTGCAGTTTGCTTTATTTTAAGAATTTACACCTTGGAGCAGTACTCTGCCCTTAACTAAAGTGGAAGCATATAATTTAGATTAGGGAGAAAGAGGATGATTAGGTGGAGTTGTATAAATGCAATTAATTTCTTTGATGTTTTATTTATAGGTTTTAAACATATAGCTGTAAGATTTTGTCATGTCATCCGTCTCCTTTCACTGTTACATCCAAGAAAGGACTGGAAATGTAACCCCTAGCACTAACACTCAGATTCAAAACTTGTGTGACCAAGAATTTGCCTTAATTCTCTGGCCTCCAGTTCTCACAGAGTGATTCAGTTGAAGAGGCAGCTCTTGTAGCGCCTACCAAATTACACACCAGTACGAGTTTAAGGAACATTTGCAGCAGTTACTTTGAGAAGTTTGACAGGCCCTCTGGAAGAAGGCAAATGTTTCTTTATTTGTTTCAAATGGTGATAATCTCCCACTGTCTATAAAAATTTGGAAATGGGCCGGACACAGTGGCTCACACCTTTAATCCTAGCACTCTGGGAGACTGAGGTGGGCAGATTGCTCAAGGTCAGGAGTTCGAAACCAGCCTGACCAAGAGTGAGACCCCCGTCTCTAATATAAATAGAAAGAAATTAATTGGCCAACTGATATATATATAAAAAATTAGCCAGGCATGGTGGCGCATGCCTGTAGTCCCAGCTACTTGGGAGGCTGAGGCAGAAGGATCGCTCGAGCCCAGGAGTTTGAGGTTGCTGTGAGCTAGGCTGACGCCACGGCACTCACTCTAGCCTGGACAACAAAGCGAGACTCTGTCTCAAAAAAAAAAAAACTGTAGTCCTATCTCTATTCTAACTAACTATATGATGTCAGGCCGGTATTAACTTCTCTAGGCCTTACTTCTCTTATTTCTGTAATGATGAGAGCTAGGTTGGGGTGTCTTCTCCAACTGAGGATAGGAAGATGTGGGCAGAAGGTGAATGTGGCAGTGTCACTTGTTTTAAAGGCCACCAGCAATCTTATATTCTACCTGGGAACACTTTTCTCTCTAATGCTCATTTTCTGAAGTAAAATCATATTATCATTTTAGCTGAACTATATCATCCCCTTTTCCTAATCTTTTTTTTTTTTTTTTTGAGACAGAGTCTCACTTTGTTGCCCAGGCTAGAGTGAGTGCCGGAGCGTCAGGCTAGCTCATAGCAACCTCAAACTCTTGGGCTCAAGTGATCCTCCTGCCTCAGCCTCCCAAGTAGCTGGGACCACAGGCATATGCCACCATGTCCATCTAATTTTTTTCTATATATTTTCTAGTTGGCCAATTAATTTCTTTCTATTTTTAGTAGAGACAGGGTCTCACTCTTGCTCAGGCTGGTTTCAAACTCCTGACCTTGAGTGATACTCCCGCCTCGGCCTCCTAGAGTGCTAGGATTACAAGCGTGAGCCACCGGGCTCAGCCCCCCTTTTTCTAATCTTGATATTTGTTATGTATGTATTTGTGACAAAAAATATTCTTTGGTTTATAACTCAGTAAAGTGACTCACTCTGTGTGGTGAAAAAAGATGAGTTTTATTGTTATTTTAGTCATTTAAAACCTTGGGCTGATAAAAAAATGTTTTGCTATATTTTCCCAATATACTCCTTTAGAGTATTTCCATCATTTTTTTCTCTTTTAGCTTTCTCGAATGGAATATGTGCACTCAAAGAACCTCATTTACCGAGACGTCAAGCCAGAGAACTTCCTGATTGGCCGACAAGGCAATAAAAAAGAGCATGTTATACACATTATAGACTTTGGACTGGCCAAGGAATACATTGACCCTGAAACCAAAAAACACATACCTTATAGGGAACACAAAAGTTTAACTGGAACTGCAAGATATATGTCTATCAACACGCATCTTGGCAAAGGTGTGTTTATTTCCTGCTCTGTGAAAGGAGCAGGTCATTAGAACAATCTTTTTTTCCAGTAACACTTTTATTTTCATTGTACATTACAATTTGTGGTTCTCATTGCTTCATAGGCTAAGTGAAATTGGGATGGTAAGTTAATGACTTTCCTAAGTATCCTATTGACTATTTATAGATTCTTAATTCTTTACACTAGGTTTCCAAATGCCTAGTTTCTGAGCAGTGTGAGTACTTGAATTATTATAAAAAGGTGATAACATTTAAATGAGTTTAGTAATGAATTTGGTATTTACTTATGATAACACTATATATGACAGTTCTAAAAAGGACATTAGGCTGGTGTCTGCAGTGGGGAAGAGTGCTTTACTAAAATTGTACTAAACTGTTGGCTGTGTATAATCCATGCATAATTCTTCAAGGAATTTCTTATCTAATTAAAATATATTTGCTCTACCATAAGTCTGGAATTTTATTTAGGATAGACTATCAGCACAAGTGTTGCTAAAAGATCTAATCAAGAAAAAAGAGGCCGGGCGCTGTGGCTCACGCCTGTAATCCTAGCTCTTGGGAGGCCGAGGCGGGCGGATTGCTCAAGGTCAGGAGTTCAAAACCAGCCTGAGCAAGAGCGAGACCCCGTCTCTACTATAAATAGAAAGAAATTAATTGGCCAACTGATATATATATAAAAAAAAAAAATTAGCCGGGCATGGTGGCGCATGCCTGTAGTCCCAGCTACTCGGGAGGCTGAGGCAGAAGGATCGCTCGAGCCCAGGAGTTTGAGGTTGCTGTGAGCGAGGCTGACGCCACGGCACTCACTCTAGCCTGGGCAACAAAGCGAGACTCTGTCTCAAAAAAAAAAAAAAGAAAAAAGAAAAAAGACCTTACTTGTAAGAGGAATTAGCCCAAGGGAAGAGTATTTGCAAGGGAAGCCTAAGGAACAGTCGGGATGTCAAGCAGGCAGAGCTTGGGCCCTTTGCCAGCTTCTCCAAAAAGACTTCCCTTTTTATCTGTTTTATATATTGGGCTTCCATGGAAGATTCTTTTCAAACAAAAGGTTCCTAGGTGATTGAAAAAATATGTTTGAAAATCAAAATTCTAAAGAGTAGACATGTAAACAGAATATTATCAGGTTCCATGCCTGATAATAGACATAGCTAGCTAATTATATAAGATTTTTAAATATTAATGAACTGTCACACCCTAATAAGTATCTTAAAGACTAATACAATACCTACTAAGTTGCCTCATTGAATAAATTACACATGTATTCACATGAGGGTTCTAGTGACAACAAAGAGTAGAAATGACATTACGAAGTAGTATGATACAACTTGAGTTGAAATCATGATGCTCTCAGGACATTTTTAGTAACCATATGGAAATTCTCATTAACTCTTAACTAAATATGATGTTTTAAAATTAGACTAGAAGGTCCTCTGCCACTTATTATTGGTATCACTTTGGACTTATCTGTAAAGTGAGTGTAGTACTCCACAAGGGTGTTATGAGGCTTGAATGGATAATATATGTAAAAACACCATGCCTGATGTGGTTCTTGAACAGTGCTTAATATCCCCTTTTTCCTTCATAATGACATGTAATCTTCCCTTTCACATGGAAACAGACTGTATCTTAAATACTAAAGTCGTGATTGGTTTCACTGACAAACTCTAGAAATTGTTCTAATGCCTGCTTCCTGGACTCAGTTCATGGACTTACTATTTTTGTCAGGAAAGGCAAGAACAGACAGGGATGGGTATCTGTTTTATGTTTGTGTCAGATACAGTGTAATGGTTAAGAAAAAAGATATGCAGCTCCTTCACTTAATAACTATGTGACTTTGGTCCAGTAACATTCCTTCCTCAACCTCAATTAGCTCATGCACAAAATGGGTATGATGACTGTACTTGTAACATAGGGTTCTGTGGGATGATTTATATAAAATGTTTAGGATAGTGTCTAATAATAGTAACGTCACTCCATATGGTAGTTATCCTTATTTAATATTCAATGAATATGTTTTAAGTATCTAGTGTGTATCAGACTTGGTTCCTTCATCTCTTGGTGTACTGCCATTCCTGCTGAAACTTTGATTTTATCTCCAGACTTGGGCTTCTTGAGTACCAGAGTTTTTCAGGTCAGACTTAATCTGTCATCATATTTTGTTCTCTTCTTATTACAGAGAATAGTTATAGACAGAGATGGTTGTCACTGTTCTCTAAACCATGTCGCATGATTCAGACTAGAGAGGTTTTCATAGGAACTCTAATGCTATTTGCTTTTATAATGTGTTGCATCCTTTATGTTATAATGAAGAAAAAAGAACTGAGAAATGTGTCTTCAAATGGCTTGGGAAGAATCACCCCTTAATTTTGTGAGGGAGGAGAACAAGGGATGAAGAGTCCTAAACCTAAAGTTACCACATAAGATTAGCCACTGTCTTAGTCCATTTTGTGTTGCTATAAAGGAATACCTGAGGGCTGGGTAGTTTATAAAGTAAAGGGTTTATTTAGCTCATGATTCTGCAGACTGTACAAAAAGCATGGCATCAACGTCTGCTTGGCTTCTGGTGAGGTGAGTTTCAGGCTGCTTCCACTCATGGCGAAAGCCAAAGGAGAGCTGGCTGTTCATAGATCACATGGGGAGAGAGGAAGCAAAGAGGGTGGTACCAGACTCTTTTCAATAGTCACCTCTCCAAAGAACTAATAAAGTGAGAACTTAATCACCCAGACTGAGGACACTAATCTGTTCCTGACGGATCCACCCCCATGACCGAAACACCTCCCATTAGGCCTCATCTCCAACATTGGGATCGAACTTCAACATGAGGTTTGGGAAGGCAAACATCCAAACCATAGCAGCTACCTTCCCAGTGATGAAGATCAGACTGAGACAGCCCAATTTATATTGTTTAGTGGTTGAAATTAGGATGGGAACACTGGATCACCTTTCCCCTTTCCATCAACAAAATATATTTAACCTAAAATCAGGGATATGATGCATGTGAACCAAACATGTTTCTAATTGGTTGAAAGCAAGCCTTTACAGTGTTGAATAATTTTGTGATGTACTGGTCTCACTGGTAATAAAACATTTCATCTTTGAAAATAAAAATATCCTGCACAAAAATATGAGAGCATGTAGAAATAATGAAGTGAACAAGTATGGAGTATTAAAAAAAGTATGGAAAAAAATCATGCTCTGATTGGAAAATCATTTTTCACTCTTATTTTTTTTTTATTTTTATTTTATTTTTATTTTTTTTTGCCAAACAAATCCGTTGTCTGATATTTTTCACTCTTATTTTTTTGAAAGGCCCTAATGGCTTAAATTATAAATTATCACAGTTTATTTTAGAATTCTAGAGCTGGCAAATGACTTTTCAGATTTTCTAAATTGACTATTTTATTTTCAGATGAGGAAACTGAGGCCCAAAACAGGTGATTTGGCCATGCTTAATTTCATTGGATTAAATTAATGGACAGGATGAGCCAAGACCTGGATCATTGACCTGGTTTAGGATCCACGTTTTTCCTATTATCCCATATTCCATAGCTGGTTTTCATGGTTCTAAGGATTTGAAAAGTTACTGTATTACTTATTCCAGTGAGTTTAAAAATTATTTTAATCTCATTTTATAATTGACTTTGCTGTGAAGAGAAATCTTTTTTCTATAGGCCTGATCAATATTGAAAATGTGGAGAGTTTCGCCCTCTAGTGCCCAACTAAAATCCAAACATTTGTCTGGTGAATTTTTTTTTTTTTTTTTTTTTTTTTTTTTTTTTTTGAGACAGAGTCTCGCTCTGTTGCCCGGGCTAGAGTGCCATGGCGTCAGCCTAGCTCACAGCAACCTCAAACTCCTGGGCTCAAGCGATCCTCCTGCCTCAGGCTCCCAAGTAGCTGGGACTACAGGCATGCGCCACCATGCCCAGCCAATTTTTTCTATATATATTAGTTGGCCAAGTAATTTCTTTCTATTTATAGTAGAGACGGGGTCTTGCTCTTGCTCAGGCTGGTTTCGAACTCCTGACCTTGAGCAATCCACCCCCCTCGGCCTCCCAGAGAGCTAGGATTACAGACGTGAACCACTGCGCCCGGGGTGAATTTTTAATTACCAAGGGGCCTCTTGTTTCAGGAAGTGGATCTAAAATTGAAGAGACAGTGAGTAGGTATGATACATACAGTGTGAGAAGCTTCAATGTGGTTTCTCTCTCTGCCTTGCCTTGTGGGAGGGCTCAACTCTCCTTGCTTATTCTTTTCTGTTTTTATTTGTATATCTTTAGGTTCTGTTAACAAATTGTTTTTGTCTAATTGCTTTGTTGTTTTCAATTATATATAATATATTATTGCAAACTTCAGACAAAGCCGGTAGACAAAAGTTTCTGATCATCTTGCTATTTTCTTTCTTTTTTTCTTTCTTTTTGTGGAATAGGGTCTTGTTCTGTCTCCTGGGGGCTAGAGTACAGTGGCATCATCATAGCTCACTGCAACCTCCAACTCCTGAGTGCCAGTGATCCTCCTGCCTCAGCCTCCCATGGAGTTGAGACTTACATGCACTCACCACCATACCTGGCTACTTTTTTCTTTTTTTTTTTTTTTTGTAGAGGCAGGGTCTCACTCTTGCTTATGCTGGTCTCGAACTCCTGGCCTCAAGCGATCCTCCCACCTTGGCCTCCCAAAGTGCTAAGAATACAGGCATGAGCTACCACACCCAGCCTTTATTTCATTCTTTTTAAGATTATTTCAATTGATGTACACTAATTCAGTTTTATGTCATTTATCCCTCTGTCAGGGTGACTTTCCTTCCCATTAGTGACCACCTGTCCATAAACCTCCTTCAAATGAAAGTTGCCTTTTCTTTCATCTAACCTGTAGAGTACTGCTCATTCTTTTTCATGCAAATTTCTCATAATTTGAGGCAGCAGTTGAACATGTTGTGCTTCTTTATTCTGAGCCAGCTGAGTGGCTTTCCCTGCCTCTTTGGCCTCTTGAGTTTACTTTCTGTACAAAGAAAGCATAGTGAAGTTGAAGGTAGCCTTTTAGTCTTGGTTCTATAATTTATTTTGATAAAGCCCTAAATTTGATTCTGAAAAATAAAAACATAAAATGTCTGAGATGAACCATAATTGACAAATTAGAAATGATGGCATGTACTGCTTATATTCAGTCTGACAACCAAAGAATGTATAGGATATTTTCTGATAAAGTTGTAGTTTTTTATTAATTATTCTTTATCCTCTTCTTCCCAATTAAAAGGAAAGGAGAACCCAGCAACTTGTTTTGGATAAGCTCCCAGAGTGCAAGGACTTTGGGATGTTTTGTTTGTTTGGTTTTGTTTTGTTTCTTTTGTGACAGGGTCCCACTATGTTTCCCAGGATGGTCTTGAACACCTGGGCTCAAGCAATCCTCCTGCCTCAGCCTCTTGAGTAGCTGGGACTACAGAAATGTGCCACCACACCTGGCTAGAACTTTGTTTTATGTGCCCATAGAAGGCACCTTAGTAATAAATTTTAAATTTTTCTTAAGGCAGTTATGGGATATGATACAAATAAGATGGCAGCCAAGAGATTATGCATTGATATTCACTTAAATGAAACTGAATTTTCTTACAAGTGTTTTTATAATGAATAAAAAGCACTAAGCGAGTATGCTAGGCCTTCTGCAGCTTGTGTCTTTGCAGGCCTAGCCAGAATGGACTGTTGTAACAGTTTTTGTCGCTCTATCTATTGCTCACTTTCTCTGGTGGTAACCAAAGGGTAATTGTAGTCCATATATTGGAAATAGCATTTCATTTAAATTGTCTGACTGTCAGGAAGGTGACAGCATTGAGTGAGGGATGATTACTCACTGTTTAGTGATTTGGGCTTGGTTTTAATTTAGGATTTGCTCTTTTCACTTGATAATCACTTACCAGCAACAGATCTAGACAAAGAAACTACACATTGATTTTTTGTTTGTTTTGGTCTAAAATAGTATCCCTGGTTTAGATATATGAAGAATTCATAAGGAGAGCCTTTCCATAACAGAAGGGTTTCTGAAGGGATTACTTGGTTTTGAACTCTTTTCTGCTTTAATAACTGCAAACATAATGTGTGATCTGTCTTCCCTTTTAGAGCAAAGCCGGAGAGATGATTTGGAAGCCCTAGGCCATATGTTCATGTATTTCCTTCGAGGCAGCCTACCCTGGCAAGGACTCAAGGTATCCTTGAAAGTGCTCAGTGGAGGGTTTTGTTTCAGTGCTCAGTTGTTAATGAACAAGCTGCTGGCTAGATGTCTCTAAGAAGCACAAAGGGGAAGATTGGCAACAGCAATGAGAAGCTGGGACTAGTTACATTAGTCTACATTGTAAATTCTCGCCTAGACTTTGGAAGCTCTGTTTTATTCGCATTTGTCTTCTTTCCTTTCTTTGTTTTTCCTAGATTTGGGATTTACCATATTCTTTTTTCTCATTCCTCCCAGCCTTGGCAGTGCTACTTTTTTCTGTGTTGGTATTCCTCCTCTGCTACCATTATGTAGCAGGAGGAGTGTTCCCAGTATTTCAGGGAATTTCTGGAACAGATTTATGACTGTAATACTGCACATTTTACCAGAAAGGCCAGCAGGGTATGTCCCTCTGAGGAACTGGAAAATATTTGCTCATGCCATTAGTGAATAAATGCCTATTCAGACAATAGGCATTGAAACAATAGGCATTCCTTGCAAAACGTGTAGCGTTTAAATAGCCTTCGTTAGGGTAGGTATCAGTACAGTGACTACATGTCAGAATTAAGTATTAATTATTATAATTATAAGCATTATAATTATCTCTGCCTGTTAGACCAGGAAATGGTGGGCTTCTAACTTTTTTTAAGTCCCATTAGTTAATTGTGAGACATATTTTTAATTGTAATTTATTTCAACATGTTAATTTGGTAAGAAACTTAACCTGTAGCTTGGGGTGCTCCTACACCCCCTACTCCCAGAAAGGCAGAATGATTCATTTTGCTGTGTTTTCTGGGACATTGTCCTAAAAAGTAAGGCTTCAACCATTCCCCTTGAGATTTTCTTTTGCCCTTAAATTCCTCTCCTGACATCTCCTTCATGATCTTCTCCTAGTTATATACATCTTCTCACAGATATTGGCAGCTTTCAAATAGAGTTTCATATCCTTCTTGCTTATCATACAGCCACACAGTGCATCAGTGTATTGTTAATGGCTTAACTCTGTTCATGAATCATTTTAGTGCTAGTTGTAGTTGTATTATAAAATTTCTCCAGTTTACTTCAGAACACTATTCCTTAAATCTAGGTGCAGCAGGCTAGGTAGATCCTGACAAAATTCCCTAGAGATCCCACCGTTGGTCCACAGTCCAGGAGCCCTCTGGCTACAGTTTTGAGTGTACCAGACTTAGGCTGCTCTGAGCTGCTGAAATACACCAAGCCTATCTATTAGCCATGCCTATACCACAGATAATTTTTTTCTTTTCTAGAACCACATTGTTGAAAGGCATTTTTTCACTTCTTGGTCCCCACCCCCATTCAGCTTCTCAGTATCAGATTAGCAATACTTTTTTTTTTATTTCAGCATATTATGGGGGTACAAATGTTAAGGTTACGTATATTGCCCTTGCTCCCCCTTCCCCCTCAAGTCAGAGCTTCAAGTGTGACCATCCCCCAGACGGTGCTCATAGCACTCATTATGTATGTATATACCCATCTCTTCCTCCCCACTGCCATCTGCCCACAACCAATAAATGTTATTCCTATATGTCCACTTAGGTGTTGATCAGTTAATACCAATTCAGATGAGCAATACTTTTATCTTAGAGCTGATCTAAGAGGGAGAAAGCTGAATCACTGTTGAACAATAATGGCCATGGGAGATTAGAAAGCTGCTGCACTTTTGAAAATATTGCTATATGTTTTTATTTTCTTATCATAGCCACTCATCTCATTAAATTTGATGGTGTTTATCTGAGACTATTAAATCTTTTTGCAAGTAAAACTTTGCAGAACACATCAGATGTTTGTCCATATCTAAATAAATCATCTCTACTACATTTCTTAATTGTTAGAAAGAAAATTGAATCTAACAAATCCTGCCAATTTGAGTGAAAACTGTATATGAAAACATATTGAACTTCCCATACTTAACACCTCTTTCCAAGTAACCTTCTCTCTTTACTCTCTACAGGCTGATACATTAAAAGAGAGATATCAAAAAATTGGTGACACCAAAAGGAATACTCCCATTGAAGCTCTCTGTGAGAACTTTCCAGGTAGGATGCTAAAGGGACACTTCAACGACTGTGACTAAGCCTTACAGTAGGTAGAGTCCATGACTTGGTATCTCTAGATATGGGTGCTATTTGGCTAATTTATGTTTCCTTTTATTGATATTCAGACCAAAGTGGGTTTTATCACTTTTATTTGGTCCATAGAGAAAACACCTGTGTCAAATAGTCTGTATAAATATCCCTTGACCCAGAGGTCTCCCCACTCCGCTGGGAAGCTTTCAGCTAATGAGCATTGCCTTTCTCCTCTTTCCTAACAGAGGAAATGGCAACCTATCTTCGATATGTCAGAAGATTAGACTTCTTTGAAAAACCTGACTATGAGTATTTACGGACTCTCTTCACAGACCTCTTTGAAAAGAAAGGGTACACCTTTGACTATGCGTATGATTGGGTCGGAAGGCCTATTGTAAGTATCCTCTTTTTACCCCATAACCTCCTTTCCCAGAACAGCACTGCTCTACTCCTTTACTTGCCAGTCTTTCTGCTTAAATATTTGGAAAAAAATACTTCTTTGATGATAGACTTTATATTTACCAACCTTTTCATAGTGTTGTCCTAGATTGTTCTTGCTAGAGTTAGGAAATAGGAATTATATATTCTTTAAGATTATGACTTATGTGTCTTAAGATACCAGAACTTAAGCCAGTTTTTTAGAAGTAGGTTCATTTCATTCAGAAGTTGGTGCTCCCGTGTGCTGTTAAGGTACTTGACTTATATAGGAGCGGAACCCAGCCCCATAGGAAGCTTTTGTATTTGTTGTTCTGGCCAGGGGTCTGCATGGCCTGTATGTATGCTAACAGATACTCCTGTAGGATAGTTTTTTCATTTCAAAGGTAAGCTACTCACCAATAAACTGTTGAGGATCTGGCTGCCTCCCTTTTGCAGATGAGCAAATTGAGAAGACAAAAAGACTTGTAACTGCCTCGATGGCTGAAAATAGTTACTACTACTCTGTTACAGTTAGAATTAGATTGATGCTCTCCTTTGCAGATGCATCAGGTTAGACCTGTTTTCCCCATTTGACTTTTTATTTCATTTTTCCAGCCTACTCCCGTAGGGTCAGTTCATGTAGATTCTGGTGCGTCTGCAATAACTCGAGAAAGCCACACACATAGGGATCGGCCATCACAACAGCAGCCTCTTCGAAATCAGGTATATGTTAATCCTTCATCCTTACAAACATTCCCCTTCTTTGTGGCTAATATTAAAACCCAAATTCCCCAGCTTCTCTGCATTAGTGTATATGTTAATACTAAAATTAAAGACGATAGGTTTGCCATTTCTTACTAATATAGTATGACATTCTAACAACCCTCAGGGCATGTATAATTATACTGAGATGCATCCAGCTACCTTATATGAAGCATCCAGTCTAGAGAATCTGGGCCTGTCAGAGACTGTTGGCTAAAGAGGGAACTGGCTATAAGTTAGGATCCAAGGCAGTTTGCAACAAGCCCAAAGGACTTGTTGAATGCACAAGGTATCAGGTAGCCTATTCTGAGTCTCATCTGCAATCTAGTCTGGAGCTCTTGCCAGTTCTAGTTTTTCCTTGTTGGTAAGAAGGGTGGATAATTTGGACTTCCAGCTGGACATGAACTGGAACCTCCACACTATCCTTAGTCCCTATACCCAGGTTAATTGTAGAGCTGGCCAAGATCTAAGGTAGACCTGCAACGAAGACTCAGCTTTGCTTTAGGCCACTCCAGAGAAGGCGATGTTGTCTGTCCTTTCATTGTTTGGAAAACTAGTGGGTCTAGATGAGGGACATCTCCCATTCTAAATACAGAAGTGCCAAAAATGAAAACAAACTCAACAAATTTGACAACATTTTCTTAAAGGGCTGATTGGGGAGTAAATATGACAAAGAATTTTTATCTTTATATCATAAATATTGCTAAGACAAAAATGGAGAATTCAGTAGATAAATAAGCAAAGAATACGAAACAGATTTTATATATATTTTTAATCATTATCACATATCAAATTAGCTTATTTCTCCTCTTCCTGTCTTTACTCTTTTATATTAACATTTTTACAAAAGAATACAAAAATACATATCATCTCACAAGTGCATACATGCAAATACATAAGTTAAGAAGAGTATATAGAAACAGAGACACACACATATGTGTACAATGAAGTACATCCACAAATATAGGTCACTCACCCCAAGTATATACTCTTTGCAAAACGTTTGACTTGGTGAGTGAGAAAAATGTGTGCAAAGGAAGGAAAGCTATATACTAGAGAGTACAAAAAGAAAATATGTAAGCAAAAAGATGCGGCTTAACAAACTGAACACTAATTGGGTCCATAGTTACGTGCTTTAACCAAAGTATTATACTTTTCTAAGACTATAATTTGACTGACTTCTACTTTGACAACAAAAGATTGTTGACTTCTGCAATTGTTCTCCCCTCCCCCACCTTTTCTTAAAGGATAATCATTAGTGCAGGTGAGGACACAATTAAACTGACTCTTTTATACATTGCTGTTGATTTTGCAAATTGCTACAAATCTTCTAGAAAGTAATTTGATAAAGTTACTGTCCTTTCTGCTAGAATATCTTAGTTCCTGAAATCAATCATTATAAAACAACCAAAAATATAGGTTATGTGCATAAAACTATTGCATTGTCATTTATGGCAAAGGTATAGAAATGATCTACTTATCCACCTATAAAGGAATAGTTACGGATCCACCTCAAACCCTTTATTAGATAAACTGAGTTATGGTAAGGTAAATTGGAGAGGAAGGGGAAATAAAATCAATGGGAGGAGATAATGCCAAAATATTAATGGAAATAGTGCTGGAAGTGGTAGCATTCTGAATAATATATTTCCAAAATATTCTGTAATGAAGCTTTATCACTTTATAATGAAAAATGTACTTAAAATATTAATATAAAAAGAAAAAATAGTAAAATCACAATCAGCATATATTCCTGTTAATATTTTTAGAATATCTTAAAATTAAAACATGTGTTTCCTTTAGTTTTCTTTTTCTGCTTCAGTGAATTAATAATAAATGCTACTGGCCGGGCGCGGTGGCTCACGCCTGTAATCCTAGCTCTCTGGGAGGCCAAGGTGGGCGGATTGCTCAAGGTCAGGAGTTCAAAACCAGCCTGAGCAAGAGCGAGACCCTGTCTCTACTATAAATAGAAAGAAATTAATTGGCCAACTAATATATACAGAAAAAATTAGCCGGGCATGGTGGCGCATGCCTGTCGTCCCAGCTACTCGGGAGGCTGAGGCAGCAGGATTGCTTGAGCCCAGGAGTTTGAGGTTGCTGTGAGCAAGGCTGACGCCCCGGCACTCACTCTAGCCTGGGCAACAAAGCGAGACTCTGACTCAAAATAATAATAATAATAATCAATACTACTGTTTTGAATGGATTTGTAAAGTATGAGGAAAAGAGATAGTTGAAAACCTGGATTGCCAGGATAGAAAATGAGGTCATATCTACTGAATTTCAGTGTACTTTTAAATGAAAAGTCTTTGGCCAGTGTATGTAATTACTTAGGAAAATCTCATTTGTAAGCTTGTTTTTGAAGAAATGAATCTTGACAGTCTCTCTCTGATTTTATTTTTTCTTTTAGGGTTTTTAGTATCCCATGGCTGCTAAGGGTTTGGAATTTCCCCACATTCATACAAATCTTATACCTCCTTCCCAGCAGGATTCTGAATACTTGCTGGGTAAAATTCTTTTTGCACTATGCCCTGGAGTAAATGGATTTTTAGTGTCTGTTCAACCTTTACACTATCTTAGTCTGTGGTCTCATTATTTTTGTTCCATCTTCAGGGTTTTCTTATGCCCTCTGTCTTTTTTTTTAAATATACACAGCATGAAATACTGTTTTTTGAAGAAAATTTGCAACCAAATATGTTCCTTTTTATTATTCTAGGAATTGAAAACAGTATGTATGATTTTCTAGACTAATTCTTTACACATTTTAAAGTCAGCAGAAGAAGAAATACAGTCTCTCCTTGAGCAAAATTGAAAGGTATTGACTTTACTTTAGGGACATCTAACCTTTTCTTAGCATATTGGCCTCAGTAAATATGAGCTAAGGACTTGCTATGTAAAAGTATATCCTGTGGATACCAAAATAGGTAGGGAGTCCTTGTCCTCAAAGAGCTGACAAGTAGATAAGCCACATAGCCAGATAACTATAACACAAGGCAGAACAATAAACATCCTAAGTTGCAATTATTATCATTTGAGATTAAAAGAAGGATATATTTCATCTACTGTAAGCATGACAAAAAGTTTGATAAGAGAAGCTATGTTTGAAATTCTCTTAGTAGAATTAAGTGGAAATGGAAGCAGAAAGAACACATAAACAACAGCAAATGTTTTATCTAGTTTGATTTTCTAAAATAGATGATGTGGCTGGGCACAGTGGCTGGGGTAGAAGGATCTAGCACTGTGGGAGGCTGGGGTAGAAGGATCACTTATTGCCAGGAGCTTGAGACCATCCTGAGCAACATAGCGAGACCCCATCTCTACAAAACACAGAAAAATTGGCTGGGCCTGGTGGTACATGTCAGCAGTCCCAGCTACTTGGGAGACTGAGGGAGGAGGATTGCTTGAACCCCAAGAGTTTAAGGTTGCAGTGAGCTGTGATGATGCCACTGCACTCTAGCCCAGGCAGCAGACTAAGATGCTATCTCAAAAAATAGAATAGACTAGAATAGAAAAGATGTGAATAGAGGAGTCCTAGGATACAGGGCTGGGAAAATAGATTGGAGCCATCTGATGAAGTTCCCAGAATGGTGTAACTAGAGAGTTGGTGCTTAATTTCAGTAGGAATAGGGACTAAAGGTTTTTAATCAAAGGAGTAATGTGAATTTTTGCTTTAGAAATCTTTTGGCACAGAACATAGTAGTAGCCTGGCAGCCAACATGGAGAGCAATGAAAAGGCAGTGAATTCCCTTGAAGATAAAGGGAGCCTAGATGGGCTATAGTAGTGAAAATGAAATAGTAGTGAAATAGTAGTGAAAATAAAATGCTACGAAGATACAGTGTAACAGAATTGGCAGCCCACATGAACATCAGGATTGAGGGAGAAGCATGAGTCAAAGCTATTGCTGAGATTTTGAGTCTGGATAATTAGAAAACAGGTGGTATTATTACTAGAAATGGGAAAGGTGGGGGAGGGACTTGTTTAAAGTTTGAATTTATGCATCTTGAGTTTGAAATACTGGCAAGGTCTAGCAGGAAGAGAGGTTGGTTCTCAAAAGACAACTAGAGGGATGTTTGGGAGTTAAGGCACAGAGCTAATTATAGATGATGATAATGCCTGAAGAGCTTCCTTATTCTGGGTAAATCTACCCATCAACTATGTTGTAGAGAAGTGAGCCTGGAATTAACAAGCTCTGTTTTGTCCCACAGAGTAGGAAAAGAAAGAAGAAGAGCTCAGAACTTGGTTTTGGCTTATCCCAAGACTTTGGCCATAGGACATTTAATCTTTTTGGGGGCCTTGGCTTTCTCAAATTTAAGTCTTATAAGAGCAGAGATTTTTGTTGTTTTGTTCACTGCTTTGTCCCTAACACCTAAATTCAATGTCTAGAGTCATGGGCACTTGATAAATAATTGTTTGAATGAATGAATCCATCTGCCAAATTAAGGGTATAGATGAAATCAGGTATTTGTTTATAATACAGAATTTTATTTAAGCTTCAAGGAAAAGTAAATTTAAAATTTTTTTTCCTACCTGTTTTCTATTTCTACAAAAAGCCATTCTGCCTGTTTGGCAGCCACAGCAGGGCCGGATTGTCTGCTCAAGGGGTAGGGGTGTAAAAAAACACAGCAGTTGGCCGGGCGCTGTGGCTCACGCCTGTAATCCTAGCTCTTGGGAGGCCGAGGCGGGCGGATTGCTCAAGGTCAGGAGTTCAAAACCAGCCTGAGCAAGAGTGAGACCCCGTCTCTACTATAAATAGAAAGAAATTAATTGGCCAACTGATATATATATAAAAAAATTAGCCGGGCATGGTGGCGCATGCCTGTAGTCCCAGCTACTCGGGAGGCTGAGGCAGAAGGATCACTCAAGCCCAGGAGTTTGAGGTTGCTGTGAGCTAGGCTGACGCCACGGCACTCACTCTAGCCTGGACAACAAAGTGAGACTCTGTCTCAAAAAAAAAAAAAAAAAA